GCGACCGTCGCGGGGGGGGGGGGGGCTCTGTGGGTGGGTGGCTACAAAACTGCTGGTTCTCATGTAAATTTTACCCAGTCTCTGCGCACTTTGTATCCCTGCTTTTTCCTTAGCCAGATCTTGCTGAAGGGAAAAAAAAAAAAGAAAAGAAAAGATTAATGGCATGTAAAATGGGAGGGGGGGAGAAAGCTAGAGGCAAATTTCCACATCCCCTTCCTCTGGACTTCCTGGTGGGTTTTCCATAGAAACTTTCACACAGTGGCCAGACAGATGCTTAAAGGGGATGGAAGAAAATAATGAGACCGCAATAGGAAAACAATTGCATCCCCAGCTTTCCACGTCAGGGACGGGAAGGCCGCCCCTCGGCTGCTGGAGGGGAGGACTTGGTTTCCCTAAGGGCAGAAAACGGTCTTTGTGCCATCCCGGCTTCCCTGACATGGGGAAAATTCCCAGGAATTTTGTGAGGGAACACTTTTGTTTTGCATGTTTCAACAAAACATTAAAAATCCTACTCATATTTTTTTAGAAAGCCTTCTCCCAGCTTGACAGCCGTGTTGGAGCGCCAGCCAGGCCTGCCCGAGACAGCCCAGCGAGGCCTCTCTCCCTCTCTCTCTCTGTTGGCTGCTCTTTTCCTGTCTAATCAATTATCCTCCTAGCAAGTCCTTCTCAAAGGTGAGAGCTCATTATGCATATGCATAAATCACAGCTCCCAGACCTGACACTGATTGATGTAATCATCTCCCGCTCGCTCCCTTCCTCCGTGGGGCCGGGCTGGAGGAAGTGCCGCAGCAAGGAGAAGGCAGGCGAGAGCCTTCCCAGTCGTCACGCTGACTTCTGCTGGGGCCGGCTAGCAGCCCGCGCTCGCAGGCTAGCCGGCCACGTAGCGCTTCCCATGCAGAGCGGCCAAAGTGCCTGTCACGGGCTACTGGTACGGCGGCAGAGAGCCTGGTGAACCCAGCAACACCAGAGAGTTGCCTCCAGCAGAGCTAACTATTTTGCAGACAAAATTAAAGCAGTGAGGAGAAGATCCAGCAGCCCCATTCCCCCCTCTGCAAGTTTCCACAGTCAGGAGTCGTGTTCTGATCCACAGTCAGAACATGGATTAAAATAAAAACCCAAACCTTTCGTGTTAGCTAATGGCCTTGCTTTTATTTTCCTTGGCTAGTTAAAGCTCTTTTATCTCCATAAGAAAAGAGGTATCCGGGTAGGAATTCTGATCGTAAGCGTTTAGATATGTCATATAACAAATACCTTTCATATTATACCTGCCACTGTTTTTGGAAGCTATACTGTAAAAATAAATAAATAAAGACAAGTTGTGAACGGTATAAGTTACTCCTGCAAGGGTTTGAGGGCAGAAGGGCTCCTCCAGACCAGCCTACCAGCTTTCAAGATACTGAAGTCTATCTCATCTATGATTTGTTTCCCGAAGCATGCTTAAGCATGGCAGCATTCAAGATGCTGCTCAGATTATGCGGTTTACCTGTATGGTTAATATTTACACTTTTAAAATACCTCTTTCTATCACTTTGATCAGAACTATCAATGTACCAAAGTAATAATACAAAAAAATATATGCCCTGGAAATCATAACAAGATAGAAATCAAAGTGAGTCCTAATCAAGTACTTTCGAGAGCGTTATCTTCCTTGTTAACAAATGGTAATAAGAAAATTAAGGCTTATAGCTTGCTTGCATTTTATCTAAGAAAACCAATAAAGATATCAGACGTTCTTTGTTTTATGTGTTTGAATGTAAAGCAGAATAATGAAGAACATGTACCTTCTAAGGATTCATTTGCTCTATGGCTATTAACCCTTTACAATGCCAGGGAAATCCTGAATCTGCAGAACGAGAAAGAGCCTATGCTGCTACCCGGGTTTTTGAGGCCAGTCTTTGCTGCAGTCAGGACAACATCTTTTTTTATTAAACGCTGAAACTGGAACAAAGCAACAATGGCTGCTTGCTAACTATGCATGTCCAACAGGCCTCTTTGCTATTCAGCAAATGGAAGATATTAAACAACATTTTGCTTAAAGGTACACTGAGGCCATTTCCATTAGGACATGGTGTCATTCATTTATTCACATGTTAAGTGGATGTCCTTGTGGCTAATGAGTAATAATCAACAGTGACTCCACTTTATTCCTTTGCTCCCAGCAATGTTAAATACTCTGATGGAGTCCCTTTGCTGACACACTAGAGAATATGGTTAAAAAGTGCTAAAGGACATTTTCAGCATAGAGCAGCCACATACACACATGCTGGAAATACCACTTTTATTACAGTCTATTCTATTAGGCTTTGTTCCCGTTTGAGGCACAGCACACGGAAACCTCTCGTATTTATCTGAAGATAGTTTATGCCTCAAAAGCCTAGGATTCTAGGTCTGAGAGTCAATTTGGCTATCTATTACTAGGAGGGGAGTTCTTGGCCTCCTGGTTTATAAAAAAATCAAAACGTACGTTGCAGTACGTTCCCTCGATTCTGTCTATTCACAGAGATGTTTAGTGGAGGAGTGATTTAGGACAAAATCTTTCCTGCATAAATCTAGTCTGACATATATTTTATAAAATAAAGTAACTCTCCTACCACCTAATTAATCCGTTTTATTATATCAACTTCAGTGGTTAAGTAGGTTAATAAACTATATTAATATATATTTTTCCCTTTACATGATTGCTTACGCTGGAGTCTGCAGCTCGGTTGTCTTCTGTGTCAATTCCTAGAGTTTGAAAGGTAGAAATGAATCATTCTCGGTCATGATTAAGCTTAAGTTGGAAATAAAATATGTCAATCAATCTGGTTGGAAATGTTCCTGCTGTCTAAGTTGGTTATGCAAACCACTCTAAGGTGTATAGGCATGCTCAATTAGGTCAAGGGATATGCTGGCACTCCTAGCCATAAATGTGTGTCACTTGCAGTCCTCATTATTTTTAGCAGTGGTGAAAATGCATGTCAGTAGGCCAGCTCGCCAGATTTGAATAAAATTACTAGGGATGCTCAAACCTCAAGTTTTCAATACATTAATATTACACGTATTTTCAGGCAAAACAGTGAAAAGAAAATGCATCTCTCTCCCCCCCACCCCACGCCATCTGAGTCACTGTATTGAATTTCTCAGTAATCATTAGCGTAATTCATACTGGACTATGCCATACTGAAGATACCTTAGCAGTAAAATTTAAGTGCCTACAAACATAGATGTAA